TCACGGGACTATTCAATTAATGGGCAATATTGACTGACATTCCCAGAGCATACCCCCAAAAAAATTTTTATTGAAGTTAAATTCAATAAAGACTCCTAGAAAAGGATATGAAATCAATGGGTGAGTGCCTAAGTGTTCCTAGGCTAAAGTTAGTTCTCTAATGGCTCTTGTACACAGCACAGGCTCTCCCTGAGACTCCCGAAGGTTGATTATGCATTATCCATGCTGTTGAACTACTAAATACTAGTTCACTTTAGGAACCAAACTGGCAACTCAGCTGCCAACTATTATTTTACAGAGCAGGACAGAGTCAGTTGAAAATTGTATTTTTCCAATTAGCACAGTGGGAAACACTGCTGAGGCACTGAGCCCAAGCCTGCAATTAGAGAACATTTGCTTGCATCTCGAAATAGAATGAATGGGAAGTGGAGACCTGCTATCTAGGTCTTCGGCAATAATACCCTGGGAGGAAAGAGCTTGCTACCATTTCAGTAGTTCCCAGAAAATAACCATCCTGCTCCTTTTAATAAGTAGTTTTCTGCACTGCACCAGAGTGTGTCCTGAAGAGATCAAGAAATCCCGCATTATCTCTGAATATAACAAAAGTTTACACAAAAGCCCAATCATTAGAAAGGCAAGTACTACTGCCAATGAGCAACTCCAGTGTTTATTTTAGTATTCATTTTTTAAGTTTATTAACAAAGTCTCAAAAGTCTCCATCTGTCACAAAACTAAGTGTGGCACGGGCACCTCCACAATCTCCAGCTGGCTGGCCCTTCTCAGCTTTCCAGATACCTCATTGTGTCTCAGGTGAAATAAAGGAAGGCTGAAGAATTTAGATCTCTCAGTCCAGGTGAGGACAAGGGCAGGGAACAGTTCAAAAGAGAAACAATCTTCACTCCGTGAGGAATGAGTTCGGTAACCTCAAGAAATTCAGAGCACTCAACAAGGATTTTGGTGAGAGCCCAGAGAAAGCTGTTAGCAATGAGGGTATCTGCAAGCATCATATACCCAGCAGAAACACCACAATGGAGGAAGGCTTTCAGTAGCCCAGGAATCCCCATACCATGAGGTTTTACTATATGCCAGCTTCTAACGAGCAAGTCTTAACTTTGTCATCTTTGGAAAGCAGTTTTATATCGCTTGGAGGTGAAAGTGAGGCAGAGTGAGAACAAATCCTTTTATTTCCTGCCAAAAAGGAAATAAACTATTGAAAGCACTGGCTTGGCCCAGTTTTCAGCATTTATGGCAACCTGCAAGCAAACACACGCACAATTGTGTAACACCCATTCAGTGTCAACTACCATGTGATTCAACATTGACATTTATTCTAGGAATGAAACCATCTGACTCCTACATACCGACAGGGCTTCTCCACAGAATAAACAGCTTTATCTCCTAGATTCTGCAGGTATTTGTACATATGCAACCATAGAGCTAGGCAAAATTCCTGAAGAATTTGCAAGCTTTTGACGGATGTTTCCTTTCGGCAATGAGATTGGAAAAGGGGAAAGCTAACCAGGTTCTTTCATTCTCTACTTTCTATACTTAATTGTTAAAATTCTTGGCAATGTAAATATTCCAATGAATTTTTCACTTTTAAAAAATATTACTAAAATATAAACTAATCAAGAATTCTTAGGTAAACACAGATTGAAACATTTATCTTCACACGCTTTGAACCACCACCAACACAGCATCAGGGAAGACTGCAGAGGCATGGAGAATAGGCAGGGAGATAATCACAAAGCTGCGGCAGCTGGACAGCAGACGGACTTGGCAGACCCAGAAGGCTGAAGCTAAGCTGGCCACTGGAAGGTGCAGAAATTGGAGACCCAGGCACTTTGGAAGAGATGAAAGGGCTAAAGCCAGAAAGACTGAAAGTCTAAAAAGCAGGGCAGATGGAGTATTAGATGATTATTAATAAATTATTATTACTTCGACAACACATTGTGCTAACACCTTTTTTAAAAAAAAACACTATCTCTTAGACACATCCTGAAGTATTTTACAGGTGAGATAGGTCTGGGATTTGATTTAAAATAATTATTTAAAAATGTGTGTGAGGAAGAAATGGGTAAAACAAGAACAGCAAAGTTGACTGTTTCTGGAGCTTGTTGGCGCTGGATAATGGGTACAGACTGCACGGGGCTCCTTACAGTCTACTTTCAGGTATGTTGTGAGTATTTCCATAGTAAAACTTCTGGAGTTTTTTTGGTTTTTTTTCCGGTACCGGGAATCAAACTCACAACGTTGCGCTTGCCAGGTAGGTGCTGTGCCACTGAGCTAAATCCCCAGCCCCTAAAACTTCTGTTTTTAAAGAAATAGCAGTTAAGCCGCTGGGTGCCCAAAGTCAGGCATTTGTCTTCCATGTGACATTAGGCTGGAAGTGCACTCTATAAAAGGTACAAAGGAGGGCCTGGGAATGGGAAATAGCAGGTAGGGAGCCGAGACAATACAGACATCCGCACAGATGTGGGCCCATAAATATGACCATGCACACTAAAGCCATGCAAAGGGATCTAATAACAGGAAGTACAGTTACCCACTGAACTTTACAACTTTTGCTAAAATACTTTAAAATAGAGAAATGGAAAATAGTAAAATTATAATCTTTAGTACACTAATTTAAGACACTGGAAATACTGGCATTTTTTTTTTAAACCAGCTTCCATCATTCTACCCTTTGGGCTGAGGTCTCTTATTGTCGAGTTCTGGCCAGGATAACTTCCTCTGTGATATCAGCTCTCTCTTTACCGTAATCAGTTTCCTCTGTTAAGTTTACCTTAAGTTCCTTTGTCTGCATACCTAGAATTTCCAGCAGCCATCTCATCCACCTTCAACTACACCTCAGTTAATGTGCAGTTTGACTCCTGAAGTCATTTGCACTTTCTGCCCCACTGAATGTTACCGTTAATTTTTATCATGATGATCTGAGTTTCTTTCAAACCTTGGGTAAAAAATTTGCAAGCTGTGCAGTGTATCATCAAGAGCCTATCCAATTCTAAACTTTTCAGGGGACACACTGGCACTCAAGTGTCTCAGCTAAGGTAAGAGGATCACTTGAGCCCAGGATTTCAAGGCAGCCAAGGGGAACTTAGTGAGATCCCATCTCAAAATTTTTCACAATTAAGCTTTAAAAGTTAAAGTAAACTTTGTCCACTGGCTAGACTGATGAAAATGGTATTGGATGATAAAAAACAGATTTCCACAAGACACCCCAGAGCATAACTCAATAGCAGTCTTAAAGTTAGCCCAGCATCTCTACTGCCAAGCTGAGGCAATATGATCAAAACCTGGGTCACAAGTAAACTAATGCAGTCAACCAATTACCAACACACTTAGAAAGAACTGATGTGCTGATCACAGATCGTGACCTGCAGCTGGTATTTTCTCCAGATTTACAGTCTGGAAAGGGAGCAATAAATTTGCACTTTAGGCAGTTACTCAGTTGATAAACCAAAGTGACTGCAAAGTGAACCATGTGTCCAGGCACTGGTATTATTTACCTAATCCACAGTCACTGAAATTCATACCTACCAGATCCACAAAGCAAGGACTACCTACAGTGAGATAGGGAGGTTAAAATACATGGTGATTACTTCCCCCATTGAGCCCCACAACTTAAAGCCTCAGGCTTTTGCCCTTCTGAGTCTTTCTGGAGCTCCCCAGGCAAAGAGCCCACCCAGATCACCCTGTACCAGGGTTTCTCACTTCAACAGCGCTCTGCACTGTCAAGATATTGATAACAGCATCCCTGGCCAGCTGTGACAATGAAAAATGTCTGAAAACACTACCACAGAGCCGGGGATATAGCTCAGTGGCACAAGCGCCTGCCTGTCAAGCACAAGGTCCTGAGTTTAATCCCCAGTACCAAAAACAAAAACAAAAAAAAAAAACAGAAAAAACCACTATCACATATAAGGATGGAATTAGTAAAAATTACCCCTGGTTGAGAACTGCCCAAGAGAAAGGACTTGCAGTCCCACAACTGCTGACCATACACTTGGCCTAAAAGTAAAATTATGTAGATGGACAGCAGCAAATATCCAAAGTGGTTGACTCAGGAAAGAGAAAACAGCAAGAGACTTCGGTTTTCATTAAAACTTAATGAATTGTATACAACCTTGCCTGTGTGTGTGTGGTGTGTGTGTGTGCGTGTGTGTGTAAACTGGCCAGGGTACTTCCAGCACGTCTTTATTAGATTTGGAAATAGAGCTCCTCTCGTCACTGCCTGGCTCTAGGGTCTCTCCTTCTCAGGAACAGCTGTTCTTCTAAAATGCTGGGAAGGGTACTGTTCTCCATTAAGCACAGGGATCTGGAAAAACCTGGGCTTATGTGAGGCCACAGAGCAGGCACAGGTCTGATCAGGCATAGCCTTATCCTTTGACAGTCTTAGTGCTAGATTCTATTAAAACACTCTAAATACAATCAAGATTTCAAAAGTATTGTCCCACAACTTCCAGGGCAGAAACCATCAACCTAGTTGAGGTTAAAAAATATACTTTTTATTAACTGTTCTGATCAAGGATAAAAGAAATAACAAGACTAAAGAATCCAAAACTGGTAATTTTTAAATGAAGCTGAAGTACATACAAACAAAACTCATCTCAGCTTTCTGTGTAGTATCAACAGAAACAAACTAAGTAAAATAAAGTAAGTTAGGGCCAACCATGCTGGTACACTTCTGTAATCCCAGCACTCAGGAGAATGAACCAGAACAGTCCATTCAAACAGGAAAACTCAAGTTGTTAAAAACAAGTGTATCTGTAAGTACTAACATGAAAATGTCTTAAAGGAAAAATGCCAAGCAGCTCCAACAATCCCCAGGAAGTGATGTCATGTGTATTCTGGGAACATAGAAACATTAAAAGAGGGTGTGGAACTTGAAGATAGATAGGAACTCTCATTTGAAGACATTCACACATTCCTAAGCACAATATAAGACTAATTGATGAGAAGCAGACAATTCAAATATGAACAAAAACCATGAGAACCAATTTTCTAAAAACTGTAGGCCTTTTTTATTCAGTTAAGAGGTAGACAGATGAACATGGAAGGCTGTCCCGTTTAACTTGCCCAAAGTTCATATTCCACTTCATTCATCCATCCCACACTGCCAGAAATCTTAAAGAAATTATGAAGATTGCCAAAAGGCTTTTTTCTTTTCCTACTTCTTAGCAACCATCAATGAATTGCTTGCAAAGAAGTTACTAAGTAACTTAAATTTTCACTGTGCTCAAAGAACCTCATCCCTCTAAGTTCCCACAGAATCTGCCAGGTCTACCAGAGTCAGAGTGCCAATGACTCTGTTTCTATAGGACACTACAAGGGAAGCTTCAGTTACAAGTTTTGTTGTTAAATCCCTGTGCATGTTAGGGCAGAAGCTGGTGAAACCAACAAAGCAGAGTATACTCCATCAACTGGCTCTGCATGGTTGTTAAAAAAAAAGAAACACACGCACACACATACACATACAATTATCTTCAGAGACAACATTAAAACATAATGGAATTGAAGCCTGATACAAAAAGTAGAGAAATATGTACAGGAACTCACAGCCCAGAAGGGGACCTCAGTAGGAACCAGTGGAAACCTGGCTATTTTACATAGCTAATTTTGAGACAAGTCATATTTAGCACAAAAGCGATTACAGCATAAAGTAACACTTCCTTTGCACAGCTCCCAAACTTTGAAGACGCTTGTCAGGTCTTCGGTAACACTGTAATCATTCTTCAAGGGAGCAGGAACGCATGAGGTGGTCCCAAACATTGACACAAATTTAAATCTCAGATTCACACTCTCAAGATGAGATATTTGAAGACTGCCATGATAGCAGCACTGATAATGCCAGAAATGGGGACTGTGACAAACCAGGCCATAAAAATGTTGCGGAAGAGTCGCCAGTCAACTGCCTTCTTAGATCGGAGCCAACCAACGGATACAACAGAGCCCACCTAGGAGACACAGAGCAAAGAAACTAGTTACTTAAGTGCCCAAAGTATTTTGCCAAAAAGACACCTGAAGCTGTTCCAGCAACGGTCCAATTGGACAAGACCAATTCCATGAAAGATGGTTTCTAACAGGTTATGATTACTCACGGGAAGATGAGGGCAATGTAAAAATCAAATCATTAAATCTGTGCTAATTTTACTAAAAACAGTTCAAGAATACGCTCATACTACAAGTCCTGAAAGGCCCTTAACATGTTTTCTGTAAATAAACTACCCTTTCAACAGTTAACAAGCCTCACAAACTTTTTAAAATCAGGGTATCAGCCACAAGGGGTAGCAAAGTCTACCCAGCCAGAACTAAATGGCTGGCCAGTTTATTAGCACATACCCATACCACTTGCAATAGTTTCCCCACAGGAAAAGAGTATAACACTGCTACGTAGAAATGACTCAAGACCAAACACACTGCAGTGACCGTGCTGACAGACAAGAAACAATGGAAGAGGTCCGCAGCCAGAAATTAGAGCTAGTTTCACATGAGAGAACTTCAACAAAAGACCAGAAACTATAAAACAGAAGCCTATTATTCTTATAGTCACTTGTCCTTAACACTACAACTATGTAAAACTTTCTAAAGCAAAAAATGTAACACGTATTACTACAACCATCAAAATACACTAACGTTTCATACTTACTTTACAATGTGTTGTACTGATGGGAAGGCCAATGTTTGATGCAATTACCACAGTGAGGGCTGATGCCAGCTCAATACTGAAGCCACTGTAGACACAAAAAAATTCTTGTCAAGAATTCAGGATTTTGTTTTTGTTTTAATAAGCTAACACAAACCTTTAGTCAACACAACTCTGCCTGGTTCTACTCAGTGACAAATTTCCCAACACCTTTATTACCTGTAACCCCTGAAATCTACTTTAAATGGAGCCATGATACTCCCCCTTTCCCTATTTGCTAACATTTGAGGGTTAAATTCTTCTGGAATATCATTACATTAAAAGTTCTCAGTTTTATTTTGAGGAATTTAGCAAACATCAGTCTTCGCTCCCAAATAAACACAATAGCTGGGTACATTTAGCTATTCACTCTTAGTACATACACTTTTCTCTGGAGCTGAGTGGGTAAATGTTGAACCAATATGCTTCAGGCCAGACAATAAAATGATTCAGATCAACAATGAGAATAACATCAGAAACTTACACACACCTGGTCACTTTGCGATCTGTATGTTAATGCTATGCAGTACTTTCCCTTAAAACAATGAGCACTTCTTAAGACCTGCTTTACATACTCACCTAGAAGGTGTGATTGGGGTCAGATCCTTGCCCATGGTCTGGATAACTCTCCTTCCCCAAACCCACAGCCCCATACAGATGCCAACACCACCATAGAGCAGGAGCCATATCGGGGTCGCCGCTTTTGAAGAAACATCCTGGGTCTGATAAACTAGATACAAAGCAACCAGAGGGCCGATGGCATTGCTAGAAGAAAAAAGAGAACAAAGATGAAATCCATGCAGAACTACATTTTGCAGAGACCCAATGTGCTAACTGATTTGCCAGGGTGTCTAAGCCTGACTTTCAAGCTCATTTAGTAAATGAGCCTTTCTTTCCAAGGAAGTGGAACCTGAACGCACACAACAGGAGAAAAATGAAAGCTATTCTGGCAGAGTAGACTGCCATGCACCTAGGGCCCTCTTCCTAGAAGCAGCTTAAGTAACTCTAGGGTCCCAGCAAAGCTTACAGACCACAGAACTAAGGCTTATTGACCCACAAATTCATTCAATAATGCAGTGATTTTAAGTCCTTCATCTTATGTCCCACAATCTACTATCAAAGAATTAAACCCCATCTGGACAGATGAAGGTTTCTCTGTGAAAACCATCTGTTTGTATTTTCATGTACAAAAATAAAGTCAAAAACACTCTGTCATCTCTCTACAGAATAAAATTCCCCTGTTTATTACATCAATAACCGCTATTACTTCATTCTATCTGTATTATTCAGTATTGCATGGAGAGGAGTACGAAAACAAGGAGATAAAAAAGAAAAGACTGTTTAAAAATAGAGGCAGCTTGCCAAGATTCAAAGTGGACTGACCTGACATCATTGCCACCATGGGCAAAGGACCCAAAGCAGGCTGTAAGTATCTGCAGAAACTGGAAGAGGAGCGACACTTCAGGCTTATCCTGGTCATACCATTCTTCCAAAGAGCCAGTACTTCCTTTTCTGTCACCCAGGCCCATCTCAGCCTTGACACTCATGTCCATCTCAGACGCAGAGTGAAGGTCAGACACAGCATTGCAGTAACTGGTGTAACTGTCCATTCGAATTCGTTTCTTGGTGTCAGCACTGGGCCATGTTAGCTTCTCCATTTCTTCACCCTTCTGTTCACCTTCTTTGGCACGGAATGAATCCAGGGGCATGCCACAAATTGCCATTGTGTAGGAAGTATAGCTATTATTGCGCCTTAAGGGCTTGTCGCCAGAGTCTCCCATACAGTCTCCCACTTTGGCCAGATGTAACTTATGGAGCAGCTCTTTATACAAGCCAGAATCTTTATGCACGGTGTGATACTGATAGTGGCCACTGGAGTTTATCTGATTGCTGACAGTTTGACTGAACTGAACAAGGTTCCCATTAGGCAACTGCACTGCACCTGGCCAAAACCAAAACGTAACAGTCAGTGCCAAGAGCATCCAGTCTCAGCACCAAAGAGAACAGAGCGACACTCAGGAATGTCAACTCACCGTTCATGGTGCTGTCTACACTGGTCTCCTCCTTCAGGTCCACACTGGGAAGCCTCTCACGCTCTGGAGCTTCCTCCAGGTCTCCGAGTTTGAATGACACTGTTCTCTCCTCCACCACAGCCCGGAGGGGGGCAGTGGCAGATCCTATCTCTGAGGCAGGAAGCCGGCTCTCAGTATCACTGAGAGACAACTTTGTTTCTTCATGGTCTTCTTTCAAGCTATCCTTTTTCTCCATTAAGGGGCTTTCAGAAGGACTAGATTTTATTTCTCCTAGATAAAAGGGGAGAGCGATTTTGGGTTTGACCATATTACCTTGATCTGTATCCTACCACAGACACCCCAGTCCATCTCAAAATAAGAATACATGTAAATATCAGTTACAATTCAGGAGGCCTGTCTTGCCTGCTTTATCATCCATAAGTAACTCACATCTTTCACCTGGGAACAAGCCAGCACATGCTGTTAAGAGCCAGGAAGGGAGTATTTCAGGCTTTTACAACCATCCCATACTTGTAGTTATTTTTTACAACCCTTTACAAACACAAAAAGCCTTCTTAGATCCCTGTAGTGGACAGAAGGCAGCTCAAGCTTGAGTGTGACAGTCAAATAAATGAAAAGCTAGACTTCCTCTAACTCATGTTCTTCTTTAAAAAGCAGCGTCCCGAATTTCAGTCCAAGACTTTAAGCAAGGTGATATATAATATACGCAGCTAACTGAAAATGACAACTTTAACCTCTATCTCTGTGAAACCAAGAGGCATGCCTTACGATGCTAATTCCATAGCCAGACAGGAGTATTTTCTGTTATCAAGCAAGTGAGCCATATGTTTACCGACCAGTTCAGGTATCTCAGTCAAATCAGACTAAGCAAGATTTCTCTCACTTCCCCCAGACTGAGGAAAGAACAAGGTCATGGAGTCCTGAAAGCCTCACTGCCACTGCACATGCGGCACAGCCAGCAGCTCAGGGCCTCTCAGAGGCTCCTCAGCTGGGCTGTGGTGACGCAGCATTCTTCCTGCGCCACTGCAGTCTGTGCACCCTTCCACTAATGAAGAGGAAACTTCACTGCTAATCTAGCATTTGCACAGCTAAGAAGGGCAGAAAATGATTTAAGAGCATGCAGCCAGTAAGATTTAAGAAAGACTGATACTAACCAAAATCTACAGTACTCAATATTTAATTTCATAAAAAGTACCGTTACATGACCTAAATGATCCCTTTACATGACAGATGAAAATGCTTACTTGTAGAATTTGTACAATTCTAGCATAAATACAACATGCACCTGAATACGTATATGCACTGTAAAATGTGTATGTGTATATACATCTGAGGTCAGCTATATACATTAGGCTCAGCTTTGCTAATCTGCAATTATACACAGTATGAAAACATTTTGTACCTAACACATATTTTCATGAAGCTACTCTCTTGTCAATTAACCCAGACTAAAATATCTCTGTATTTATCATGCCACTGGCTATTGACCAAGGTACGTTTTTTAAAAAGGTTAAATGCCTCACTTGTCTCTCCAACTTATGTTGAATGTTCTTCATGACTAGGTCTCAGGTCAAAATCCATTTAAAATATAGCTTGGAAAACAAATCCATATTCACTTAAAATCTTAGTTTGCCAATCTAGGCAAACAGTGGATTTTTACAGGTAAAAATAAACATACTAGTTAAGACATTTCTGGCAGAAGTCTTTACTTACGTTCGATTTTTCTCTTCATCCTGGGACATACAAAGAACCAGACGATAAGGGCACAGACAACTGCACATCCCACCGAGATGAGGATGGTACCCCACAGAGGAAGTTTGTCAAAGCCCAGCACTAGGAGATAAAATGGTGCATCTTGAAAACCCCAGGGCAAGAGCCCCCTGCAATAACGTGTAAACCCTCCTGCAGGAACAGAGGGCTTCCCCAATCCAGCCCATCACCCCTGCCGGCTGCTGACAGCTTCAATTCCAGAGTACATTACTCGGATGAATACACAAATATGGGAGAAAACTCCACATTTTAAGCCCACATCAGTCTGGCCCACTTAAATACCTGCTGGACTCATGTCCTCAGTCTTTTCATATTCTACTCTTTTCCTTTCTTGGCAGGAGATGTAAGGATCTCTACACTAGCCATGAAACAAACAGAAACATCCCACTCCCTACCCAGCTCCTGAGTCTGTCACACACTACACTCGCACATATATATTCATTTGAAACATACTACCTATGGGAAGATAACTGTTTAAAGAGTACAGCTAGGGGCTGGGGATATAGCTCAGTGGCATAAGCGCTTGCTTGGCAAGCACAAGGTTGTGAGTTCAATCCCCGGTACCGCAAAAAAAAATTTAAAATAAAAAAAAAATAAAAAATACAGCTGTCTTTCACAAAGGAAAGGAAGAATTTAGTTTAACAAGCCATATCTAGAAGAGAATGGCCCACCAATACTTTTTCACACAGCTCAAGGATCAGTAGTATTAACTGTCATCTGCTGTCAGTTTCATGCCAAGAGACTCCTAGCTACCAGCCTAAACTAAAGCAGGAAAACAACATACCATTCTATCTAAGCCTAAGATATGTTATGATCTGTAGTTGAAACAACAGCTTGGTTACTTACGCTTGTTTTGCTTATTTTGCTTATTAGGTATTAAATAACTTATCAAATGGAAATTCATTACCTCCTAAAAATATGTAAAAACAAGATACAAAGTAATATCCCTTCAAAACTGAAGTTCTAGGGCCGGGGACGTAGAACTCAGTGGCATAAGCGCTTGCCTGGCAAAGCTGAGGGTCATGAGTTCGATTCCCGGTACCCGAAAAAAAAAAAAAAACCAAAAAAAAAAAAAAAAAAAAAAAGAAAACTAAAGTTCTATGGTGATTATCAGTCTTTTTATTTTAATTTCTGCTTCAAATTTTGACCTTGCAAGGGCTGGGTATTTAGCTCAGTGGCACAGAGCCTGCCTGGCAAGCGTGAGTTCATGAGTTCAATTCCCAGTACCAAGGGGAAAAAAAAAAAAAATTTGACCTTGTAGTAATACAAGCTAAAATATACATGAAATTTAATCAACCTATCACAATTTAAATTTATCTACATTCAAGTCAAAAATGGAAATAAAAGGAGACTGATTTTTCTTGTAAATGATTCATAAAGAACAGAACAAAATTTATCCAAGTTCCCATTTTCAAAAATGATGGAAAAGTCAGGCAAGGTGGCACACACCTATAATCCCAGTACTTGGGAGATAGAGGCAGGAAGATCACAAATTCAAGCCCAGCATGGTCAACTTACTGAGGCCTGGTCTCTATAAACGGGGGCATAGAGGTTTAGTTCAGGACAAAAGCCCTGGGCTTAACCACCCCCACTTACACACACAAAAACTGAAAATTTAAGTTTCCAATCTTACTTAACCTTTGTTACTAACATATAAACCATGAATAATAGATTCATGGAAGCCTTTTTAGTTTACCACAAAGGACTCAATTTGTAACAGAAAGAAATTGGGCATATAAGCCTTTCTTTACCCACACCACTTAGTAAGGAGTAGGCATCCTGCAAGAACAGTACCCTCATAAATTTGTCTGTTCCCTTCCTGTTATTCCAGGAATAAAGGGCAAGGTCAAAAATACTTTACTAGCTTCATATTGGTGACTTATTTGGAGATTTAAGAAGCAAGTCACAATCCATTAGTCAGAAATAAAATCAATTTAATGAGCCAAAATAAGCACTAAAAAAAGTTTAAATATTTGAAAATATGTGTACATAGTGTATAAATTGCTCCCTGACAATACTTTCTATGTATATGCACATATATACACACAGATACATACATATATATGCCTATATATGTGTAGATGTGTGTCCGGGACAGCAACATACAATCTGTCTCCTCTAGTAGGTCACAGTCAAAAGGCTAGCCACTGACTTACACAATGAAGTACCATTAAGCTAAATAAGCCTAGAAGCCAAAACTGTACCGGCCTGCTTCACAAAATACAAGTTATCAATCTCTTATAGCTGCCAAATTAAACATATAGTACCCTAACTTAATTCATGCCTTGCCTGAGTCCCAGGGTGAAAGCAACCAACATTTCAACCTTTACATTTTCACACATTATTTTTCCTCTTAGCTGCATGAATTCTTCTTCCCAGTGTACTTAAACAGGTGTTAAACATCCCAACTCTTCTCATTCAAGCAGATTCAGAGTAAATTTTGTGCTTAGCAACAGAAGTAGCTCCATTTGGGACAGAAAAATGATATCCAGCAAACCAGTCCTAACGACTGGTTAGTGAAAAACAGATCTGTAACTAGTGACTCTTCAGTAGTTGAGATCAGTATCAATTCCAGCATTTTTAGCATAGATAGGAGAAAGGGAGGGAGGTCACACTATCGGTGGATCCTGTGAAGACTAAAGTGGAAAGATCTGTAGTGATTTAGAATCTGAGCAGGTCTCTTTGGTTGAAAAACTATCTAGGTTAACTCAGCATACACTAGCCTGCAGCCTTCTAAAATGGGCGCAGGCCAGCCACCTTCTAGGAGATTTCAGCCCTGTAAAGCAAAAAGGGGTAAATTGGGCATTTAATGCAAGTTTTGTAAATAATGTTAAATTCACATTTAAATATTATGATATGTACTTACTCGGTGCTCCAGTATACATGATGGAGAAGAGATTTATTCCAATTGTGCAGGCATAAAAAACTGGCAAAGCTCGCAAACCATTAGGAACTGGGTCTGCCTATAAAACATTAAGATCAATATCTTAAAAGCTATAAAAGTTACCTCATTTCTAGAGAAACCTGTAACAGGGCAGGTTTGGGAATTTCAATGCTAACAATGGTCTCATCATAATAATTTCCAAGGCAAACTGGCTTTTTCCTGCTTTTGCTCCTAGAAGCCTTGCTAAGAAAACAAATTCTACCCTCTACTTAAAGGTGGCCTTTTCTTTTGCTATTTTTAATAAGATTACCTATACCAGTGACTGATAAACATCCTGAATAAGTTTCAGTACCAAGTTCCAAGGTACCTGAAGTTCATAAATAAACCTTAACAAATGTCTGAGAATGTACTAGACATAAGAGATGACAGAAATAGACTGAGACGTGGGAATATTCCTTTACCTTATGCTTCAAATATTAAAAATAAAACATGTAGCATGTATCTGCGTATCTGACACAACACTACCTACCAATTAGTGCTTTATCTAAATGCAATGATAAAAATCAATTGTTCTCTAGGTCGTCCAGTCAAGAGACTCTCAAGAACTATTCCGGGCCCTGAGGCACAAGAGGGAATGGGACCAAGTAAGCCCCTGCCCTCAAAGAACCAAAATTCCATATTTTGATATGGAACAATACAAAGCACTGACAAACACTGTGAAGAAAAGTAAAGAAGGGGAGGTAAAGAGATGCTGATGGGAGGATGGGCACATTTTAATTGCAGGGGATCAGGGAGTGAGTATCACTTGAGGAAAGATGAGTGTCTCAGGGGAGAGGAGGACAAGCCAGTCACCTATTGCGGGGCGGGGGACATGGACAGAATTATCAGCAGGTACGATGGCTCAGAGGCAAAATTGTGAAATCTTTAAGAAACAGTAAAGGCCAGTCTAACTGAAAATGAGATCAGGTCCACTTACAACTAATGTTTATTAATTCTACAGAAAAACACCCAAGTCAAACAAGAATGAGGACAGATCTGAGTATTTGGTTTTTTTGTTTTTGTTTTTCTTCTGGTACCAGGAATCGAACTCATGACCTTACGCTTGCCACATAGGCACTTTGCCACTGAGCTAAATCCCCAGCCCAGATCTGAGTATTTGGGAAGGCTAATCTTCCAAGACAGTCTAGGGGAAGACCCAAAAGAGATACTAAAACTTCTGACAAAATAAAAATCAGTACTTTGGGGAGATGGCGGTAGTGGCTTAAGACCAACAAAACAAAAGAGAATGTTTATAGATCCAAGTATGGAGTGAGGATATCATTCCTTATCAGTAGAGATAGGCACTGTCTGAATACCAAGCTTAATTTTAACTCTTTTATCCACTGTTTAGAAGAATACTATTGCTGTTTTCTGGATATTTTTCTTTTTTTTAATGGAGTATGCTGGATGTCTGTGGTTTTGTTCAGATGAATGCAGAACCCAGAAAAGCTGCTGCTGCTATGGATGTATAACATGCTGCTATAATTGCTTTTTTATATAAATAATTATACATAATATATATAACTTGAATTTTTAGGAACTTTTAACTGTGTGGTCAATTTTGGAAAAAGTTATCCCAGTTTACTGCGTTGAGTTGGCAGTGTACAGAAATTAACAGCCATATTGGTTTAGAAACGTTAAACTTAATTTTTTTTCCATTTGTACAGGGGTAATGCACAGTATTAAATATGTAAGGTCTTTGGGTTTGATTACAGAAACTAATAAAGTATTCTCTAGATAAAAATAAAAAACACCTAGGGTGAAATAGACAAAACCAAAACCTTATAGACCCCGGAACTTAATTATCCCTGAACAACAACAGTACTAGTCACAACCTAAAGACAGATTACAAGGTTAAGAACCTGAGGCATCTTTTTCTTCAAAAGGCAGGTGCAAGCACAAGGTCCTGAGTTCAATTCCCAAAAACCGAAAGGCTACCCAAGGCCCCCACCCTAAAGATTAAAACCCATTAAGGGTCTACAGACATTATAGAAGGTTCTATAGACATTATAGGGACTTCTAACAGATTTTTCAAATACTCTACTATGTCTGGTAATTACATCTCAATAAACAAAACTGTTTAGAGTCAAGTAGTTTCTGTACTTATTTTTTCATATGCCCCAATTATTACCTGAGGTAAACAATAATAAAGAGCTGGGAATAAATGGTACTACAGTATATTATGAAACACAAGTTCATGGTTTTAAAAAAGAGAGAAAGCTAGAGTTCCTTCTTCCTCCTGCCAGTCACTCCCAAGAGGTAGCCAGGACTAATGATTTTGTGAAATAATTTTATTACCATATGATCTACTTAACACCTTAAAACTTTAACTGAAAATGTGAATACCTCATAATCTAGTTATATAAAAGAAGAAAATGGGTCTTCATAACCCCCCATTTTCATCAGAGCAGCTTTATTTTTCACATATTAGGTATTCCCTTAAGCTTTTGTCTAAAATGACAGGAAGATCTCCTGTATATATAACCCAGCAGAAAGCTGGGCTTTTCCTGATTTTTAGAATTTAAATATTCACAGGAAAACTTTTCCCTTCACCTATTCAATACCACAGTCTTTCTCAGAAGTACCCCACCTGCATTCTTTCTTTTTCAACTGAATTACAAGTATCTTTGGAAAAATCAGTCAGAAAATAGAAAATTTTCAAAGTGCAATGTTTTTGAAATAAAACATTTTGACCTCAATTTTTATGACCACATAAACTATTAACTGGTAGGATAGACTTTAGTCCAATATTCAGATAATAGCAGCTAAGATTCCAAAGCTTACCAGTTTAAGGATGTTTTCTTGAAATTTAAAACCCAACAGTAACCACAAATGCTGACACTCGGTAAAAAGTCATCTGGGGTTTTTTTTCAGACAGGGTCTTGCTATGCCAGCTGGCCCCAACCTCAAGGAGAACCTCCTGTCTCAGCCTCCAGAGTGCTGGGATTACAAGTGCATGCTACCACACCCAGCTCATAGACTCATGTGCGTGTATGGAGCTCCTCAAAGCAGCCCTGTTTTTAAATACTATTCCAATCATTCTTGATCATGCTCACCCCTACACTCATATACAGTTAGTAAGTTAACATATCTAACTTGGGCTCTTGATAACAGGGCAGGGTAACCTGGCATGTATTCCTCATCAAAGAGGCTGGTTGTAGGCACCTGACTATCCCTCTCTACACCTCACGTTCCTTCCTGAAGAAAGCACATTTGTAGAGCGCAGACACACAAAGCCTCTCCAGAATCAGAGTAATCAAGTCCCAATAATCAAAAGGGCCACTGCAAACCTTCATAAAGCAGGAATCCCTAACAGGGGATCCTATGAATTCTTCTGATTCTCTGGTTCGTAGCAGGATACAGGGCTCTAATAACACTACAAACTCAAGCCCTTGATCACTGAAAAGCCTCAAACTCATGCATCATATTATCACACACCAGCTGTGGGGGGTAGGAAATCAGGCGCTAATCACACCTGCTTACTGAAACACTAGCAAACCTAGAATATCAGTGAGCTGTTCACTCTCAGTCATATCATGCCAAGCTACAGATGTTTCAAATGTGCAGTGTTGAACTTCTATTCTATCAGACTCAGTCTGAGCATGATCATGACCCCTGAGTCACTTTACCAGTTACCGAACTTCTGAGAAGACAGACACAAATCCTTCCCCAGAGAAGCTTAAAACTAGACCAGACAAGTAGGGGTCTGAATACAATCTTACCCCTTAGGATTAAGTTACCTATCTCCTTTCACTCAGATTTCCAGTTTAGGGGTGCTTTTTAAAGAACTTGACAATGCACAGTTAAAAGCCATTCACCTTGGAAAAAGGACAACTTTGTTTCCTGAGAAAAATGCATTTATTCTTACTGTAACTTAGTCCAATGCCAACATAATCCCTTGTTGTCTACATTTATTGTGGAGCCAGCATCAGACTTCTTGATAAAACAAATGCTACTGGGTCTGTAAAGTCAAAAGGAATTTTCAAATGGACAGGAAATTAAACGGTTGTCTGAATGTATTGCCTCCCCCTTAAAAAACCCACCTACCTTTATTGTTCATTTTTACCTATTCTGAGAAACTGGAGTCACTACTGGAGGTAGTGCCCTCATCGAGCAGCTTATAAACTGGTTATGCCAGTCAACACGTAAAGACCATCACTGGCACCTTAGAAATAGCCACAGAGAATACTGTGATTTGTTGAACACCAAGCTTACAATTTCAATTGGCCTGAATAATGGTGGTTTAAAGTAATCTGCATACAGCTAGACAAAGCCACTTTTAAATAAACTTCCAGCCTTTTTCATTTCAGTCTCTATCTCTTGGCAACAGGTACTCAATTTTTCCTACCTGAATACTCTGTTGGGTACTAAAACCTTGCTTTTTTTCAGAGTTGCACAACATACATATACAGGACAAAGAACTTTTATAACTTCCCAAGGCCACATACCTACATACCAATCACATCTGCAAGAATGCTACAGAGTTTGAGTAAGATTGAGTATGACCCATGAAAGGTCATAATAGGGAGGAGAAAGATTACCTTGCGCAGGATGAATGCACGAACAAGGAAGAATAAAACTCCAGACATAATACCAGAAAGCAGTGGAGAGACGAACCAAGACATCACTAAAATAGAACACATTAAGAAAAAAAGATCAACAAACAGAACCCAAGAACTAGATAGTGCTTAAATGCACTCTTTTCAAATCTAAATCCGTCCCTCTATTTCACACCACATGCTAACATACGTAATATCATGGTACTCTCTGACAAGAATAAAAATTAAGCCATTCAGAATTAAACATACCAATTTTTATCAGTTCAGACCACTTGACACCCTCCTGACCCTTGGCCACGAGGGAGAAACCAATGGTTGCGCCAACAATGCAATGGGTCCCAGAAATGGGGAGCTTCAAAAACGAAGCCACTAGTTGCCACACCGCTGAACCTGAAACAGAGTCACATTTAATTATGCAAATGCCAAAACTCCATTATGTAATCAACGCGTTCCGATGGAAATAGTCTGAAAGGTTCAGCAAAGAAAAGGAACCACCCATGATATAAATTTGCTCACCCGCCACCAAGAGCACAGTACCTTAGCAGAACTTACCAAACATAGCACTGACTGAGCCTGCCATCATCAACTCCTGGGTCGAGCGGTACATCTCCACATCAATCAAGCCATTCCGGATGGTCTCGCTCACTTTGGCTCCCAGTAAGACGGAGCCCACAGTTTCAAAGATGCTAGCTAGGATGCAGGCTTGCTTCAGGGTCACTACACCTGAGCCCACAGCTGTACCAAACGAATTTGCTACATCATTGGCTCCCACTGAGAATGCCAAGATAAACGCAATGATGAAGCCCAAGATGAGCATCCATAATGGATCAGAAGCAGCAGTAGTAGTAGCAGCCATCCTCTAAGAGTAGTGGTTTTTGTAATTAACGAGAGAACTACTGGGCGGCTTTCACGATGTGTAAACAGAAATATGAGGTATCAAAAATGTTATAATAACTATAGAATATAAAATTAAATACTGTAAACTACGGCACAGAAACCGAGCTGGAGAGTTACTGCTATACACTGTGTATGGGCGTCTGTTGTCTGGGGTGTCTTTGGCTCGGGAGGGCTAGACGCGCGGAGCGGAATTCCATGGCGGATTACAGAAAGGACGCAAGTTCATCCTGGGGAGCGAAGGGGGAAGAAAATAACAATAGCAGCGCGTCCCCGGGGGCCACTTCCGCACCCCGCGCTGCCCAAGCGGCTAGG